ATGTTGAAAGCTCCAAGGATTTAAGAATATGAAAGGACAGTGTTTGTTCAATGTTCAACCTTCTTGAATTTCGTACAGAATGACTTCTGAAATTTATAGGTACGGTAGAAAACCTATGAGCCAAGAAAAAGCCTTTAAAACGGGAAAGAAAAATTTCTCATATAAAGCTGTCCCTCGAGCGAGGAACCAGCGATAGTCGAGCAACGGGTTGTCACTCGAGCAAAGTAGGGGCGACAGTCCAGCGATGATGTTTCTGCTTTTGTAGTTTGAGCCAACCCTTGACAACAGTGTAGCAAAAATCCGAGTCGTTTTCCTCCTTGTTTCAAACTTGAAACCCTAGACCTATTTAACTAACATTTAAACAAATTGCACATTACTCTTTGAACTTTTACATTCTATCAAACTAAGTCCTTATATCCACAGAATTTGCCAATTACAAAATCGGCAATAACCTAACATTATACATAAACTTTTTTTGAATTTTTGCTTTCCTTTCATACGCTTTATTTACTTACTAGTTAATATATAGTCTACACAATACAAATTACAATCCATATTATATACATTTAATCACAATTCACCAATGGATCTACCCTCATTTTCTGAAGGTTTGTTCGGTATCAAAGGTGAATTACTTACGATGCCACAAATTTAATTTCAGAATGAATTTGTCAATCTCAATGAAGTACCCTTTTCCCAAAAATATTCCAAATTTTGATGTTCACGGGAGTAGTAATCCAATTAATTTGAATAACATTGATGTTCCCGAAGTGAAACATACGAAATTAAATATTCTCAATGTAAGAGGGAAGCGAAAGGGGAAAAAAAAGCAAAATGTTGGGATTACTTTAAATTGATTCTAATGAGTCTGTGGTTGATGGAGTCATATAGTTTAAAGCAGTATGTAAATACTGTCAACAACGATTTGTAGGCAAAAGGACATTGGTACTACTCATCTCAGCTGTCATTACAAAACATGTAGGTCAAACATGGGCTTCTTGGTACCTCTCAAACGCAACTGTAATTTGGGAGTCCAATCGCCAATTCGACGTCTATGACACTTTGCACATGGATGTATTCAGAGAAGAGAACTCGAAAGCGAATGGTGAAATTCGTTATCGGTGTTGAGTTGCCTTTAGCAATAGTGGACAACCAATATTTCGTCTCTTACGTGAAAAAATATCTTTAACCGAGGTACGTTGAGGTAAGAGAAACACTTTTCATTTCGATACAATATAATATTTCCTTAATATAAAGAAACAATTGATTATTGTTTTGAAAAAAATATGGGGGTATTATATCTTTAACTTCGGATTTATGGAAATGGATTAATAAAAAAAGTTATATAACTGCACATGCACACTACAATAGACCTATTTTGGTGTATGCGTAAAAAAATATTGCTTTTAAAATTATTGAGTTACCTCACAACACTAACAATATATTTACTGTTATTGTGAGCATTATTAGAAAATATTATTGTGAGAGTAAAATTCATTCTTTTACATTTGACGACGCTAATGTTAACAAGCCAGTTATTGATAAATTGTGTAGAGTACTACAACCCGATTTCGATGGTTATTTATTTCATATTCGATGTGTGTGCCATATTTTTAATTTAATTGTACAAGACGGTTTAAAACATGTTAAGGATGAAATTAGCCAAATTAGGAATGCACTTATATATATCACGATTAAATTTAGTAGAAATTGAGAAATTTTGTGTCGAATTTGGGTTGATGAATATGAAAACATTTGTTAGTGACGTAGGATATAGATGAAATTCCACTTACTATTATTAAAATTATGCCAATGATTTGAATATTTAATAACTGAATTTTGTAACAATAGACATATTATAAACGATGATAATACTATTATGAACGAATTTAATTGGCTTTTAGCTTTTAAAATTTAAAAAAAAATTTGACAAATTTTTATGACTTTACAAATATTTTATCTCGAGTGTAATTCCCACTAACGGTATGGTATTTGAATGTATTTATATAATTAATCCGGGGTTTTTATAAATACAAAAACGACATCGACTTAGTGAAATTATATATTTTATGGAATTAAAGTTTAGAAAATATTGAGAAGACTTGCTTATGTTATTTCCTTTAGCATACATCATGAATCCTGATACAATTTATTAGGTGCTAAATATGTAATTGATCAAATTTCAAAACTTTTAACTTTTAATACACTTATTACTTATAGAATTTCAGAACAAGTTTCATATGAAATGTATGAAATATATGCAGAACGAATAAGTGCAAATATTAGTCTGGGCACTCTCTACACCTACTTCTCCTGTTGATATTGAAGAAGACGACGTTGAAATATTAAATTTACTTGAAAGAATTAATAGTATAGATATGATGTAATATATTCTTCTACTAGTAGTATGTCTACTGCATGTAATCAAACATCAGACATAAGTCCAAATGCATTTCTTGTTGAATTACTTGATTACGTTAATCACAATATGCTTAATAATAAATCAATTAAAAAAGATCAGAAGAAGTAATTGAATTCTGACGAAAGTGCGAACGACGATAGCTAGTAGTTTCTGCGATTACAAAAGATCTAATAACACATCTTGATTATCACTGTAGTTTCAAATCTACTTTTAATGCTGGTAAAATGGTTCTATTTGAGGTCAGAAGCGGATCAAAAGAAAATATGTTGGAAGCATTAATGTGCGTGAAAAATTGACAAGACGCCCATTTTCAACTGCAAGATAAATATGTTGAAATCGAACGTCATCACGTAAGTGATATTTAATTTAACCATATTAATAAAATTCTTTTATAATTCTTTTTTTAATTTTTTTAAAAAAATATTGTACACATAACAAGTTGTTTATGTACAATTTTTAACTCTATATGCTCGAAAAATTTAAGTAGTTGGTCCTAAACCCGAATAAAGGATGAATGTTTTATATAAAAAAATAGCCGAGCTTGGCCCTCGAAGAACGAGCTGAGCTTGGCGAGCCACGAGCTCGAGAACACGTGCCGAACTTGTGGGCAATAGGCGGCTCGGCCCATTGCAACCTCTAAATACGAGGCTCCATCATAAAATATAGAGAACAATACATATCTACTAGTTTTAAAGTTCACATTTCAAAACTAACAAATTTGTTTAATTATTTCAAAAATCAGGTGATAAATAAATTAATTAAATATTAAATTATAATATATTAAATATTAAATTATAATATAATATATATTAATTATTTACACCACCCC